TTATGTAAGCATTGCTCTAATGAACATCCACACTGAAGAACTCTTTGCAGTATATTTTTCATTATATTTATCCAGCTCAACTGACATGTTGACAGAGGAATTCCTACAGCACACAACACCTTTTGCCCCGTATTGATGCAGTTTTGCAATTCATAGAAAACTGGGTTTTCCTTGCCACTGTGGGATGTGGAAGCTCCGATGTAAATCAAGAGGGCTTCTCAGCAGCAGACGAAGAGATTGTGCCAACTGTAGCTGCTGCTGCTGAGACGTTGTTCTGTGGGTGGCCATTTGTTCTCTCTCCTTAGGGATTTGGATGTCGAAGGAGAGGAGAGCAGCAGAGTCACCCTGGACCCAACAGGAAGGTTCCACTGGTGCGACCCTGTCCCGCTGCAGGACGCTCTCCTGGTAGGTGAGGCGGGTTTGGCCTTGGGACCTTCCCTTGGCTTCCTCCGTGTTCTCCAAGGAATAAGCTGGCTCCACAGCCCTGGTGTGCGGGGAGGACATGGCTCTGCCAGGTTCGTGGTGTTTCCGTAACGGTGGTACCTAACCCCTTGTCTAGCTTTGAGCTCATGTGCAAGGCTGAGACACAGTGCCCTGGAGAAGAGAGGCGAGGGCCGTTGCCCACTAGATAAAGTGTCTTGAGCAGGGTCACCTAGAGACTGTCAGAGATGGGAGCTGCAGGCTCATTCCCAGGCCACATTCCTTTGTAATTTAGGTGGTAACCTGGGAACGGAGGAAGATCTCCAAGGTAACAAGGGCTCAGCAATGCCTTCCATGTTCATCTAAAGCAGGGTGGGAGTCCTACCTCAGAAGAGGGTCTCAGCAGATGAACAAAGGAGGGACTGATTGACACCTATTCTGCTTTTCAGTTTTGTGATGTGTTTGTGGACCTTTGTGTCCCTGACATTATTGATCTGAATAGCTTTAAGACTGTTTGGTTTATTTCTTTAATGTAAGTGTTTAATCCTTAAAAGAACAAATCCCATCTAGAAGTGGCAGGTTGTACTCAGAGCTGCCAGAGAGCTGAGAGTAGGCAACCAAATCTTGCAATGAGGTGATCAAAGATTTCATCAAAAATACAGAATGTTCAAGCTGTTCTGCCAGCTGGGAGACTTGTAGCAGGCTGGAATTCATGCTGCTTGAAATGCTGCAGCTTCCTTCCAAGCAAATAAAAGGACCCTATTGCCCAGCAACCTCCAAAATAGGATTAGTTGTTACAAATGGGCAAATATCCCAGTAGAACTGGAAGCTCAGCTCAGAGAATTGCAGGGTAATGTTTTGAAAAGATCTTACAGGGCTGCTTACATGAGGAAAAAGCAACAGCCAGCGTGTCCTAATTCCCCATGTGCCACTTGTGTGCTGTGCTGGCTGTTCTGGGGCAGCGAATCTGGGCTGTGCAGGGGTCTCTTTTTGAAGATTAAGGATGTCCACAACGGAAATTAGAGCCTGGTAACTGCTGCATGCACATCCATGTAGGATCTTCCTTTACACGCAGATTTCTGGGGCAGGCAGGTACTCAAAGGCTTGAGAGTAAGAAGCCTTTTCAAGAGGGAACTGGGCATTTGACAGAGTCCCACAATGTGCTTTGGGCTTTTAAGAACCAATCTTTAAAGGTTGCTTAGGTGCCTAGAAGTGCAATACGCCCCCATGGGTTTTTTCCTGAAACCTCAGTATTTTATTCTCTTTGGAAAGCATGGAAGCTTAAATGCATACACCTTAAAGAATCTCTCTGAATGTCCATATAGAGCTAAGTGCATCTGAAAGTGTGATCCTCTTTGAATTTACATAGAGCTTACATCCTTAAATCACTTCAGTGTTTTGCTGAAATGCTAGCCTTCGTCTAATGCTGCATAGATGTTTGAGATTTCATGTAATGCTTCTTCCTTGACCTCACTAAGAAGTAATAAAATCAGCCAGACATGACGAGCTGCTTTGCCCCAGGTTGGAAGGAAGGTGTAAGTCCCTCAGGAGTGTCCTCGAAACGGTTCCCTGTCCCCTTCCCTATTCTGCTCATTCCCTATTCTCACTGCTCCTGTTGCTCTTGTAATTGCATATTTCCTCTGCAGGTTCCAACAGTAATAGTTTTTCCAATTGTTCCTATAAAATAAACTATAAAATAAATTGTGTTTTTAATTGTTTAGCTTCATTCAGCAGACTAATCGTTGGACTTTAGGCATGTTACATTAAATACAGCTAAAGGTTTCATTATTCAATTTAATCTAATCTAATTAGTTAGAGACAATCATTTAATTTGGTTATGATTCTAATCTCTCATCAGGAAACTTGCCCCTGACAGAAGTCCCTTGTTTCTCTTGGAGAAGAATCCAGCCAGCGAGCGCGTGTGCCGGGGGATCCTGATCCCACCCGGCTGGACATCCTGGTGGGAACAGGGACAGGGACAGGGACAGCCTGTCCTGGGAAGCACCAAGCACTGTGCCCCCAAGGCTGCGTTTTCCCAGATTACGTTCGAGAAACATGATCAATTAGGCAGGAAAAAAACAATACTAAAAAGAAAAACACTTGGCCAAAGCAGTTGTTCTGCTTCTGGCATCAAACTAGCACCTTGGCTTGGTTTGATAATTCTGGTGCTTTATGTCAACATTTATGAAATTTTCATTTTTGTAGGATAGTGGGAATATTACATTCCGTATAGTCCTGTTCTCCGCAAAGATGTTGCACAGCTAAGAAAAATAAGTCTATTTTAGAGAAAAAATCTAAACTGTATTTTGCAGCTGGTTTAGCAGAATTCTGTTTTGAATTTAGACTTGCAAGGACCAAGCTCTACAGAACCTTCAGGATCACATTTTGGTTTGTGTGTTTGGCGATGCGAACTCACCGCTGATTGGGCTGCAGGACTTCGTGATGCCCTTACGAGCCAGTAACTTCCTTTACCAAGAGCTGAAAGACATTGTATTTCTTGGGCCTTTGGAGTATCTGCAAAGAGAATGGAAATTTATTCAGAATTTCCCAAAGCTGTGGTTATTCTCAGTAAGAATTTTTTTTTGAATATTCTCTCAACTTCTTTCTTCCTTTCTCCAACTTTCATGCACAGTTTTAACTATATTTTTAAAGCGGAGTACAATTCAAAATAACCCAAATTATCTTGGGCTCTAGGCTTGAACCAGAAGCCAATATGATGTTGAAAAGGTTTCACTTTTCAAATACTTATTGGCTTCTGGGAGCGTCCCAGTGCTCTTTGGGTTCCTAGGGAAGTGCTGGGAAGCTGATCCTGGTTGGAAACGGGGCAGCACCCGATGAAGGTGGGATAAGGCCTAGACGTGGGATTTTCTTCTCTGCCCCAGGCGGCTCCGGGCTCGGGGAGCTGGGGGGTCCCTGCTCTCTGCTCACGCTGCCTCTTTGCTGCTTCCCAGGGCAGCGCGCTGGCGTGCGCGGACCTGCGGGCGCTCGGCGTGGAGCACTGCGCCGCCTGCGCCATCCTGTCCTCCACCAGCGGCGCCAGCAACCCGGCCCTGGTGGACACCGAGAGCATCCTGGCCACGCTCAACGTGCGCTCCATGCAGAGCCGGCCCGGCTCCCTAGGTACGACCGGCCCCTGCCCCGGGACACGCTCAGCCCGTAGGAACGGGCGGAGATGCAGGGAAGCACAAGCAGCCCCAGCCCCTTACAGTATTCGTTGTGACTCTTCCTTGCCTCGTTGGCAAAGGAGCCACGGTTTGTCCTGCTCTCGAGGATGTGCAAGTGGTAATTAACTGAAACGGGCTGCGAAATGGATGACTCTCCTAAGTGTTTCCCTCCACTTTGTTAGCATTCAGGGCTCTTAAAACACCAGTTGTGCCAAGGAAAAGATTAGAGTGGGGTAGAGACTGGTTTTTTTTAATAATATCTTGACAAAATAATATACAATATATACAATCAGAATAGAATAAATATGGCTTATAAGGGTTATTTGAGTAAGAGATAGTGGTGACTTGAATATATTACGTTCTAAGTAATGTATTTATATGGAGATAGTTGGTGTAGTTCTGCCGCTGTCACTGTGTGTGTATCAGAAACAGTGCAAACACCCAGCACCGTCTGTCGGGTCCGAACAGAAATGAGGGTCTCTGGGTCCCCTCCCAGGACCCTCGGAGGAACGTGGCCTGGACGTCGGGGCAGAGGGGAAGGCAGCGCTTTGGGGCTGTGTTTTGATGGGCTGCATCAGGCCTCTGTCGTGGCATCGAATCCGCTTCTGCTCCTCTGCTCTGTGTCCTGGGCAGCTGCCCAAGCCACCCTGCACCTCGCTGTGCAGCCCCATAATAATATTTTACCTCCCGAGCCTCTTGTAAAGCCAGACAAATTAAAATTTGCAGTGTAGCACTACGGAAATGCAAATTATTCTTGTTATTATTATCCATTACTGTGGTCAGTTATTTCTGAAAGATGGATTGAAATTGGAGGGGATAGATTCTGTTGCCATTTACTTTAATAGCATTGTTTTCCTCTACTTGACAAAACACTGTGCTCCTTATGCCACCCTGATTTTACTATTTTAGGTATTGCACTTTACATATTTATATAGTCCCTATTGCCTAGCTCAGATGTTTGTGAGTTGTCGCTCCATAAACTGGCTACAGTTGCAATCTAATAAATCTTTGGCTACTAAATAAAGGCCATTCCTCAGATTTATAGTGATTTCTGCAGACAAAAAAGCAGCATTCACTTACAGGATATTATCATCAATAAAGAAAGATATATTTGTGAAATAAGGCTAGGAAACAAGCGTCACTTCTTCTCCAGACTAGCTATTAAATGTGTTAGTGATTCACCCTTGGTGTAAAAATGAGCTCTCTTTCCTTGTAGGTTCATGAGGCATGTTGTGAAATCCCCAGCCCGTGTTCTTTGCTGCTGTAATTATTTATAACGATAGGCCCAGAATTTGAGGCTGGGATTCCCATTCCAGGCCCGGGGGCCGCTTTTTTAGTGGCGGGGGGTCGCACTGCTCTGAGAGTCCCCAGACCCATATGGGACCGAGATGCCCTATGGGACCCTAACGCACTGCGAGGTCGATACGGGAGTGGAAGCCGCGTGTCCCGCTGTCCTTTACGCTCCCTCCCCACTCCCATTTTCTCTTTCCCAGGAATTCTCCTCTGGGAACAGGCGGAATTGTGGCTGCTGATAGGCCACTGTGTCTGAAAGCAGGCGGGGGGATTTGCTTGATATCCAGCTCCCAAAGCAAATCCAGGCCTCGTCTTGGTATGGAAATGGTAACAAAGCCCAAATCGATGCATTTCCCGGGGGTTTAAACTGCAGTGTGACCATTTCAGAGCAAAACGGAGCAATTTGAGGCCCATTCTGTGCGTAAGCTGTCTCGTGGAGAGCTCCCGTGGAGCGTCGCGTCCGCGCGGGGCTCAGCATTGCTCACTGCTGCAGGAACGAGTGTGCGCCGGGGTCAGCGCTGGTGCCAAGGACTTCTAGTCTTTCCCATGGAAAATTTTAGGTTTTCCAGTAATCTGTAATTATCACCCTGTCATGTCACAGAGCAAACAGGTTGGCAAACCTAGGTACCGAACTAAATAATCTGTGGCATAATCTAAACATATAATGGTAATTAAGTCTGACAGCTTAATAAGCTAGTGAAATTTGAATGTACAGTAGTAATCTACAATTAAGTAATCTTTTGTAATAGCACCCTGCCAGTTTGTGGGATTTCAGGTACAGCGCTGTGTACTGTTTTGCAGCAAAAATATTGACATAAGGAAAAGGTATCCAGGCAATGATCAGACGTATATTCAATGAGCAACTGCAGTACGTGGAAAGGTGGAATGATTCATTTCAGGCATTTAGTTGCTGCCACGTGCATGTGTTCCGAGATGCCGTGTTATGCTTGGGAAGAGGTTTTCCTGCTGTCCTGACATCTCTGGGGTGGTTTTCGGCAGGCCATCACCTAAAGAAATGGGGAATTGATACTCTGGTCTCGCTGTGACCCTGTTGGAGTCCACATGTTGGTCAATCCTGGTCTGAGACCAGGGTTCACTTGCTGCTGCAGTGGGAAAATGTAACCCAGTAGGAAGGGGAAGGAGTGGCTCTAGTGCAGATGCAGGACGCAGACCTCACATGGGCCGGGTTCTTCCCTCCCTTACTACTTCATAGCTCCAAACGAAGCCAGGAGCTGGTGGGAACTGGGACGGAATCAGGACACACATTTTTCAGGAGCTTTTAAAGTTGTCTTCTAAAGCTTTTCGGGTGTCAGATTTTCAAAAACCAGGAAATTGGCTTTTGCTCTCACTTCCGCAGCATGTCCCATCTATTTATGCCCAGCCTGCCTGAAGGGGAAGGTAAAACACCCAACCCCGTCCCCCAAAAACTTGGAGTGCGAATTGGCCCTTGGGACTTGGTGCCAAACCAAGGGCTGTAACCAGCCCTGCTGCTCTGCGGAGGGTAATTATGCTTTAGTTATGATGTCAATAAGCAGTTCCCAGGAGAGATTTTCTTTTTTAATCCTTTGAAGCTCTGAGTGTATGAAGTGAGCCTTGGAAAAGCAAACCAAGGCAGGGAACTTTCTAAATATAGGAACTGCCTTGGGGTTTTTGCACGACAATGACATTATTTTTAGGTACAGGTAAGAGATTTTCAGCGTTTGTCAGTCTGAACTATTGTGTCTTGTGTTCTTTTCCTTTCTTTTTTTTCTTTTCTGCTTCTCCTGACTTCCTTGTCTTCTCATGTTGTTATTGACTGTTTCTACAGAGACTGTTTTCGGAATGAGTGCATTTGGGAATCAATCAGAGCCATGTTATAAAAGGATCCCCATCACCACAGAGCTGAGTAAGTTATTCTTTGGGAACAAATTTTCACAGAAGCAATATGCGTGCTGCATTATTTATTTACCCCAGGCCCTTTTTAGAATTCACAGACAGAAAGCGACAAGCACTATATGTCCAAGGAACATTAAAAGGTTTGACTTAGATGTTAATTCACTAGCTTTGAAAGACTCAGGATAGTTTATCTGGAGAATAAATATAAGAAAGTGTTACAGAGGTCTCAGTGTGCAGCAAAACTGCGAAGCATCCATTTAGGAGAAAGATGATGGCCTTTTTATTTTATTTTATTCTGCTGGACTGCTTCTTTCATGCTGTCCTTGGCTCTTTTTGCCTTCATTCCCCGATGATTTCCAACTAGATCCATTAATTAGGTGCATGTGCACTGATTAACTGATTGCCATGATAAGCTAGTCCTGGCTCCTCCAGAGTCATTTCAGAACTCCTGAATTTCCTGGAATGATGTTTGGATGTTCTGTTGTGCTCTGATTTAGACTTGAATTTCTTCCGTGTTGAAAGTTTCAGAAATGTTTTGAGCTGAGGCCCAGCTCCTTGGAGGGGACGTTGTGTGGTCAAGATAAACTCATCAGGCAGCCTTTGCACCACTGTGATCTCCCTCCAGGATCTGGGGTGTCGGTGGAGGGGAGACATCCTGTAAAAATGTAAAAAAGAAAGAGAATGGTGAGGAGAAATAATGCGAGTTGCTTACTATGCCTGCAGGACCAGGCTTTTTAATACCTAGACTTTTATAAACTAGTCGTGGAGTCGTACTGATTAATACCAGATGCAGAGCCAGCTCCTAAAACGCAGGGTTGCTAAAATATCTATATTGAGAAGACATGGCTGAAGGATGACACTGATACCGCAAGACAACAGGAGACATTAATAGCATTGTGATTTTGGCTAGCTTTAGTCATCTTTAAAAATGATCCACTCAGATGCCTCCTGGCCTTAGGGGACATAATCGAAATTAATCATTACTCACATAGAGTTACTTGTTCTCTCTATTTTTTAATGGGAAAATATGGGTTCTTGGTCTGCCTTCCTTTCAGCACTCCTGCCTCCAGCTGCGCTGCTGCCATCCATCAGTGCTGGCACTGCTGGAATGCCAGGACAGACCTAGCACATTCAGCAGCACAGTAGGGGCCTTTGCCTGGATGTGCTCAGACAATCCACTGAAAATAGAAAAGAAAGTTAAAGAAGAATCATTTTCGGAGGAGGGGGAATTCTCTCAGACAGCAAGAATAAGGCTGAGAAGCTAGTGCAGATTCTAACATCACTGTCACGGTAGGAGGGCTGTGAAGGGGACTCTCCTCCAATTTAAGCCGATAGAAATAGTGATTGTGCAGCAGGTTAACCCTCCCCGCCCCTTATTTTTTAGAATTCTGTGTCTTTTGGCTCCTCTTGCACACTTGGCCAGCAGCACCGAATATTTTTTTCCCTCTTTCCTTTGCACTTGCAGGATGATGTGGCTAGTACCAGACACAGAATGGCTAGCTAAGTTTATGAAGTTTACTTCTGATTCTGGATGACTTTGTTCTGTTTCTAAGTTGTTTCCTGTTTCTTCCTTCTCCAACAGAGTCTTCCCCAAATGTCCAGTTCATCAATCAAGCTTTCGACCTCAATTCTGAGCTCATAGACCAAGATGAATTTTTCACCACTGCTGCCTGCGCAGGGGATATCTTCTCAGATAGCTTCTTGAATTCCCTTTTGTCTATCGTAAGTAGACGCATCATGACCTAATCCATCATAATTAATGGCATCAGAGATATCCCTTCCTTATGAGGAGGGTAACAAAGTGATTGTGTCCATTCTTATGTGACCAGTTTGGTAACTGGGACTGTGTGATTTGTAGGGGTAGTGAGTTCCACAGCGTGAAAGACAAGTGTCAGCCCCCAAAGAAAGGACTCCCAGTGCTTACTTGATAATAGGCTGTTACAGTTTGTCCCTCTGAGGGGACGTCAGTCATTGAAGCCAAACCTGGGCACGAATTGGCCCCATGTTGGAAGTTCCAGCAGTGACGCCAAGGGCTGAGCAGATTAGGAGGACTCGGGGTTCTTCCCCCTTGGTGCAGAAGGGATTTTGCAAATCTGGCTGCAGACGCATGGGTGAGCTGGGAACAGGAACCTGCACTGTCTCCATTTTACTAGAGCAGACATGGGGAGAAACAGAACATTTAGCTCTTCTCAGAGCTCTTCTCTTAGCTGTCAGTCTGGCACCTGGGCAGAAATTCGGTGGAAGTTTGGGTAGTAAATCCGTTGAACTCAATGGGAATCTCTCAGTGCTTATTTTCTGAAATGGTATCAAATGAATTCGTGCTGATCCAGAAGATCACAGCAGATTTGAAGAGGAGAACATATTGATTCTCTGTAAATTCCTAGCCATTTCCCTTTAAAAACATTTGCATCATGAGGAACAGGGACGCAGCATCAAAAATGCAAGAACAGAGGGAACACAACCCTCCTATCCTGGTGACGTGAGTGCTCACAAGTGAGTGATACTGTTTGCAGTGACACCTATGAGTGACAGTTTGGTTCAGTTAAGCTACAATTTGGCTGCAAAACAACAGTTCTGCTCATAAAGTGGCATTTTCAAAATGTATTTCTCTTTTTCTGAAAGCCTCTTCTTCCCCTTCACCCTGATTCCCCAGGCCTCAGCTAAGTTCCATGTATCTTGCTCTCAGTTCAGGCCAAGGGGATAGTGCTTGGGTGGCAGTTTTAGAGAAAATGAATAAATAGCAAACAAATCTCCCAAAGGGATAAGCAGTCCAAAGTAAGTGTGTCAAGTCCAGTTAGGCTTTCCTGAGAAGGCTTCTGTGTTGGTGAAGGTATTATATTGCTGCTGCTCACTGATATGTCAATCAGTCAGACAGTAATTAATGACTGCTAATGTCAAGTGTAAAAGTAGCTTGAGACAGAGCATGACCTGTCTTAAAGGATAAAATTTCAGTCAAGTTTCGGATTCCAAGTGTGCCCCGGAATAATCAGCACTCAGCTCTGCTTCAGAGTAGAGGAGCACCTTCCGCTGGATTCGGAAATGTGATACTGCCCTGCAACTGCAGCAGCGGGGGAAAACGCAGGAATGAGGAGGACTAGGAGGAGTTCAGCAGTGCAGCGTGGCCTCTGCCTGCTGTCACCGTGAGCATCGTGGAAAGGCCAGGCCAGGAGGGACCAGTCCAGTGTGCGGTGCCGTCCAGGAGCTCCTTTCCAGGAGCCTTGGAGGCCTGTTCCGGATGCAGTTTTCCCGGAGTGCATCCATACCTCCCTAATTGTTTTCCTTCTTTCAAACTCCTGCAGTGTAACTTAGCAGAGAAAGTACAGAATGGGGGTGACACACAAATCCTATTAATTCATCCGAGTATGGAAATACAATCCTTTTGATGTCAAAAAGTGCAGCAATGATATGTTAAAGAGCTCAGCACGCTTCAGTTAAATATGTAAAGTGCAGATTCCCCCAAAGCTGTCTCCCTCCTGGATAACCCGGCACTACAGCGCCTTACTTGAAAAGCCTGGGAATTACTCTAACAGCATTAGAGCCTTTTGCCCAACAATATGGTCAGATGTTCTTAAGCGGATTTGAGTTGAGCCTGGATTTAGTAACACCATTCCCGCGCTGCAGCTTGTTTGGTGTCTCTCCTCAGGAGAATACAGGTGACAGATTCCACCAAGTGGCTCTGTACGGGAAATGAGCTTCTAGGGAAAGGGCGGGAATCAGGTTATTTGATGCACTGCGATCAGAGGAAATGCTTTTAGATCCAAAAACAAAAAAGGCTGTGTTATTTTTTTCTCCTCGAATTTGAATATGAACCACAGTATTATTTTTTAAAAAGTATTCTGGGACAGGGACCTAGAAGGAGGTTTTCTAAACCCATAAAGCAACTGCAGGGGCAGAGAGCTTCCTCCTGCTGCAGTGCCCCAGCCGAGCAGGGCGGGTGTCCTCATGAGCTTCGCTCTCTGTGCAGCATCACAGCCGCTGCCCACGGTCTGCGCCCTCCTTTTCACCCCATCACCCTCCTGGGCTGCCAGAGTCATTTGAGAAATGGAAGGGGCTGTGGCCGAGGGCCATCTGTATTTCTGAAAAGCTCCCGTTTGGCTATGGTTATCCATAAATATTGGCAGAATACTTTATACGTGATTAGCAACTATTTTAAGTGCAGAAGAAAACTGCTGTGTCGTTGATAGTAGTCTCCAGATTTTCACTGGAGCAGTTTTGCTTTTCATTGGGGAACCAAGGCATCCCACCTCCTCTCTGAATTTCCAGTGTCTTTTGCTTTGCAGACCTACTACAACCATCACATCTTGGCTTTGCTGCAGACTTTGGTGACGAACGGGACCAGCGCGGCGCTGGAGGAGCGGCTGCTGGAGAAGGGCAGCGTCCTGGGCAGGTTTCCCCGCAGAGCCGCGCACCGCGCCTCCCGCGCCAGGTCCAAGCTGGCGCTCCTGCCGCTCTCCACGAGGCTGCTGCCGGACGCCACGGTGGGTTGCGTCACGGAGCGCGACTGCATGCGCTGAATCCACTGTCCAGCTTGAAAAGTACAAAGACATCAAATGATCTAATTTAATCCAACATTCTAAGCTTTTGGGAAGCACTATTTTTCTTTCCATTTTTATTTTATCCAGTTCTAAACACTTAAGGGTCCTGGTCCTGTCACTGCATCTCTCAAATGTTAGAAATAGCAAGCAGTGAAAATTGCAGCGATATTGGCTAAATGCCTGACTTAGTATTAGGCTGAATTGTGTGTGTTGGTCCAAGTAGAATAAGAGTGTGTTTGCTTTTCCCTTACAGCAGGAGAACTGCTTTGGAGACGTTTACTGCCGAGCTTTAGATTTGTTTGGGATACTCTGCTTTGGGCTCTACCGTCTGATGGACGAGCCCAATCCGTGCAAGAATAGGCAAGTGCACTTGATCTGAAATTTCCTGTAATTCGAATGAGTAGTCACAACTCTGAGGTTGCACACTGTGGCTTGCTGGCTGCCCTAGGTACTAAGTAGCAAGACCTCCCAAAGCAGTCTGGATTTCACGTGCTCTTTCAGGTTTGTGATTGCTCGTCCCTGCAGCAGCTTGAAGATGTTGCGCTCAGATCTGCTCTTCTGTGTCGTTCCGTTCAACTCTGAAGCTGATGACCTTGGCATGGAGGGGAGAGTCAGCTCCGAAGCAAGAAACCAGGTAGCAAAGACAGCCTCATCCCAGAGTTAGGAGAGATTGTGATCTGCCCTGCAAATAAAGAATTCTACAAATTATGAAGATCCCACAATAAATTTTCCTGATTCTTATTTCTTAGGCATGCAGTAGGCAGCTTGAATTTGGCTAAACATTCGCAGGAGATTATAAATAAAAATATGTTGTTAAGATCTAACATGAAAATGAGAGTAAAATGCCTCTCTGTGAGGAAAAGGGCAAAAACTTGAGCCTCTGCTAAGCCCTGCACAGAGCAGTCCCAAGTAAAGGCAAACTCAGTGACTGTGTCAGGTTTAGAGATTCTCTGCTGAATTTCTCAGTTCAAAGAATACGTGCTTTTCATGCAGGAAGATGTTGGATTGATATGCACTAAAAGAAGTAAAATTTTTTTTAAAAAAAGGCAAGCAGAATCTCCCCCATGAACTTGAACCATAAATCAGTCCCACCCTTATGTTACAAAGTCAGTTGCGGGAAGCAGGAGAGAGGGGGGTTTTTCCTCTCTTCCCCCTAACACTAATTAGGTTTGAAAGACTGCAGCTTGAGTCCAGATACCACATGCTGAGAAGAAAGGAACCCAAACAGCTGACGCAGAGTTCAGACTAAACTAACTGCAAGCTCCCCAGGGACATCACAAGGTAAACTTGATAGTATCTGTCATTTACAATCATTATCAGGCAGCTGAGTCTCTGTAATTTTACTAGGGAGCCAATTAACAGAACCCTGAAGCTCAAGAACAAGGTCTTGGTCCTTTTTCTGTTTTAGACAGGAAGAAAGGAAAATAAGTCTTTGTTTAAAACAAAAACTCCAGAAGCCTTCCCACCCAGGGGAGCAGGCAGATCTGGGCTTGCGCTTTTCCTTTTGAGGGATAAGGTAGAGCACTGAACTCAAGGTCAAGCAACTGGCTTCAATACCCAGCTCTGCAACAAGTTGGCTCTATAGACTTAGGTGAGTTACTTAACTGTCTCTATCCTAATGCTGCCTTTTGGATCCAGGGAAAAATAATAACATAGTTGTTAATTAGGATTATGAGAGCTTAGGGAAAAGAACGGTCTCTTGTGCTTGGTGTAGCCCCGCATAATTAAGGATGGGACCTTTAGCGACTCTGTTCAAATAACATGAATAAGAAACAAGAGCAAGTCTTGGACTAAAAATCCAGATGGAAACATATCTGCCCTTGGAGAAGTTTGGAGTTTGGATTGAGATCTGAGCCTTAATGTGTTGGACTCCTCTTTCCTGGAACAAACTAGTCGTGCATTTGCAGTTCAGGACAGCTTGCAAGCAGCAATGGGTGAACCATGCTCAGAGCAAACAAAATACCCCAGCAAGCGTGCTTCCCCTTGCAGGGCTGAACGGGTGCCAGCGCAGCCAGCTCATCTCTTGGTAGCAGCTTTTTGGCCTGCCATCACCCCCTGCATATAAAAACTCAGATAAAAGCACTGGATTCCGCTCGCCCTCTGACAGGATGAGGCTTCAGTGATACTGTCCTTCAGTCCATCCCCTTGCATGCATGATTTAAACAGACTGAATGGATAGAAGCAGCAGCCAGGACAGGCTTTGGAGAGTTGGACACAAGTGCTAGGAAGAGCTGAGAGTTGGCTACGGAAGATGACTTAGGCTAAGACTGCCTGCAAACTTTTTATATTGGCATCATCTAAAACCTTCTTTATTTGCAGCTGTGGTGCTCTCCGTCTAAGCAGAGCATGGAGGAGGTAACATTCCTGGGTTTTTCTTTTTGCTTTATTGCTTTTAAATAATTGCACATGCCTGGAACGCTCTGTTCTTGTTTTAAACAGGTCCTGTGCAATGTTAAGGCATTTTTATTACAAAAAACTGCAAGAAGCACCAAAATCTATTTACTTAGAACTTTCCTGAATGTACCAGAAACTCATGCAATCTTGCCAGCAAACTCTTTCATCCAACATCATCTGCTCTGGTTAGAAAATGGGGACAAATATTGAAAATGCTCCCTCGTGACTGTGAACCAGAACCTGTTAGTTCCAGCTCCAGGGCACCAAGCACTGGATGTGCCACTGTGTTACTCCAGAGCTGTTCTGCATGGCACAAAACTGACACAACCCCTGGAGCTGGAGTGAATGTCTGTCTCTCCAACAGAAAGAAGAGTCTGCAGCAAGTGCTTTTTGCTTGGTCTGTTCCACGTCTCCGTGGTCTCTTAGGTGCACACGGGGTAGGCTTTCCCCTCGTCCGTGGACACTGCCCCTGTGATAGGGGAGGATTCTCGTCTCCAGGCACAGAGCTTTCCCGGTACCCTGTGTCTCCAGGTATTTCAGCTGCTGGAGCCTGAGAGATGGCGAGGTGGGAAAGGACCTTCTCCACTTTGTTCTAGCTTGTTGTGTGGTTGCTATTCTGTGCAAGCAATTCTCGTGGAAGGGGGAGAGAAACCCTCAGGAAGGTAAAAGCATTAATGGGTCAAGGCCTTCTTTGCATAATTCTATTATCACCAGGAAGATTCTGCAGTAATCATGTTAGGCATGTGCTCTGGAGCATCAAAGTGACTTGTCTTACCTTACTTTTTGATGTTAGACAGATTTAAATGCTTTGTACAGATGAGGCACCTCAGGCAGCTGATCAAGAAGGCATGTGCTGTTCAAGCAAAGCAAAGGCCTGTTTCATTTTTTTTTCTTAATGTCAACAATGCCACATTCCTCCAGCAAAGAATAATTTCTGTTGTCATAAACTGTGAAAAGCAAAGGTGTAGGAGAGGCTCTGTGTGTGTTCATGCAAGCGGGCTTTTTTGAAGCTACAGCTTCTGAATTCTCAGCAACACAATCTGCTTGTGTATGGGTAGGTAGCATATAGATGTGTATGAGTAAATGTAGTTCCTGCAGAGAGGACCACCGTGTGGTGCACAGAGCTGGTGCAGCATCTCTGCACTCTCCTTTGCTCATCTGCACCCATTCCAGGCTGTAAAGGTCACCTCAGTGTGTAGAAGGGAAATTAATATTCGTAGTAGTTATTTTTTAGCAGTGTTACTGGAGGCTCCAACTGAGTTTTGAAGTTTTTTGTGTCAGATACCAAACAAATACAGAAGCTGTCCATGACCTAGCGTATTTAAGTGCTATATACAAGAAAATATTTCAAGGGAAGCAGAAGAGCTGCAGTTTGCTGAAGGTCATGTACCAGCTTGGTGGTAAAGATGAGAACGGCACTGAGGAGTCCTCAGTCCAGGCCTGGAGGAATCCTTCCCCCGGGCCGTTCTGTGTCTCTGGCCTCCCAGCACAGCCCACGTGTCTAACACGATGATACCCTCGTCAGAGAGCGTGGGATTTAATGGAGGCTCTTCCAGAGGTGGCAGGAAGGCTGCTAAAGTAGCCCCCGTGGAGCACTGCCTGTTGATTGTTTTCCCTGTGCTTTATGAGATGGGTCAGCTCGTTTACAGAAGCCAAGGAGCATCATCCTGCTTTTGGCGAGGAAATTCCTTACCTGGGGTTACGCACTCGGTAAGCTGGCTCTGTTCCTGTCCTGTTTATCTCATCTGCTGGGCCACACTCTCATTTCAGGCTGATGAGAGAAGAACGGAGCCAGCAACCTCTCCAAAGGTGCTCGTAGGGGTATGTGGACTCTCCAGGGACTCGTGCATGCAAAACACTGACCCTAACTCATGCATTCACCCGCTGCCGACCACAAGCACAGATGAACGCAGGCCTCTGCAAAGAGCCCTTGCCTGTAAAGAGGTGAACACAGCGTGCGGGCGTGGGTTGTTTTGCTCCCTCCGCCTTTGTGCAGTCAGATATAATGCAGCAGGATGAGTGGTGAGGGCTGTCAGTGCTGCGAGCCGCGCTGGCGTTTGCAGTGCAGCCTGTGCAGGTGAGTGACACATAGTCAATGAGATCTGAGGAGAATCCAGGCTCTATAAATGTTAGATGAAGCAGGCTGGGGACTGAGAAAACAAGAGGTGGCTGCAAATACCAAGTGTCATTATTCTCTGAACAGAGCTGGTGAGAGAGCAAGGAACTTCCCGTGGAGATGAAGTACCACGCAGCAGGATGAAGAGCCATCTCCTGATACGAAGGGACATCTCATTGTCCTGAGAAGACTTGGGCAGAAAAGGTACATGACAGCAGGAGCAGCTTCTCGGAGTGTGTATACACAGTGCCCCCCAAAGCACATATCTCACGCGAGAAATGATTTATTCTCCTCAGATAAACTCTCGATTCCTGACGGTTTAAGTTAATGCCAGAACAGAACGAGGTCTCTTTTAATCATTAATTGTCAGGGGCTCTCTAGGCTTTTCCTACTCTTTCCTACTTCCCCATTCGCTACTCCAGCTTATTCTCTTGCCCTGCCACCCGCGTGCCGCGGAGCCGCCGTGTCCCTGCCGCTGTCCTGCGGTGGCCAGGAGGGATTGGAGCTGCCTGAGTGCCGCTGCTTCCCTGGCTGCGGCAGGAGGCCGTGCAGAGGGAACTAGGTGAGCTAACCTCGTTAAGCAGTGTGCAAGCAGATCATTAGTGCTTCCGACACGGCCTTCAGCCCACGTGGGCCGTCAGATAAGCACTAATGACTGAAGTCTCTTGTTTCCCTGCTCTACCTGCATCTGCTTTCTCAGAAGGTACTGACACGGTTCGGTTTTCCCGTTCGGAATAAGCCCACCCCAGTGGAGGCTTTAAATGAAAGAAGCAGCACTGCTATGACTTCATCCTGTGACTCTTTAGGAGATTAACATCTGAGAAGAGGGCATTTCTTCCTCTCATCCCAGCCCTGGTAAATACCCTTCCCTTGCAGCAGGGGAGAACTGGATGCATCCCCTTCCTGTGCCCTCGCCACGATGACCTGTGTCACCCCGGTGTGGCCGGACTGACGTACTTGCATATCCAGAAAACAGTCCCCAATCCCAGACTAACACATCAGTCATAATTCCTGGGCTGCCAGCAGTCATGTAACTGCTTAAAGACCTCAACAGCCCTCTGGCACCTAAAGAAAAAAATCATCTAATTAATCACAGGTGAAACAGCTTGGACCTACTCCAAAAGCCCCTGAATTTACTGCCAAGCTTTGATGCT